TAGCCATTTGATTAAAATTGTTGTACGTATATCCAGTATACAGAAGTTCACCTCCATGTCAGTCCCCTCCTTCCCCCGACCACCCCTCCCCCCGCCCTAACAGTGGATTTTTGATTCGTTGTACGAGCCACATCGGATATTGTCACCGATTCAAGGAAATATAGAGTGTATTTGTTTACAAAAATGGCCAAAATTTCTTGCAGTAATTTTTTTTGGTCCATTATGTCCTTAGACATTTGATTAAAAATTGTTGTAAGGATATCGACTATACAGAAGTTCACCTCCATGTCAGTCTCCTCCTTTCCCCGACCACCCCTCCTCCCGCCCTAAGAGTGGATTTTTGATTCCTTGTACGAGCCACATCGGAAATTGTCACCGATTCAAGGAAATATCGAGTGTACTTGTTTACAAAAATGGCCATAATACATAACCTCAAGGATTTGGAATTTGCAGAGGATGGTCGGGAATCCTATGGTTGTAGGTAAGAAAATCAATATCTTACCGATGGACAACGTAAACTTACCTTTAAGTTCCTCCCGTCGCTCTTTGAGTTTCTCTACGTATTTTACCGCGATAGCTCCTAGTTACAAGTAGACCAATAAGTCAGCCAAAGAAGTCAATTTATGTTTTCTGATGGTAAAACATGACTACTTGTTTAAATGTTCAAAATCCACTTTACGTCGCAAAAATGCAGTGGCGTACTAGTTTTTTTTCATTACGATTAGTCGTTCATGTCAAAATAGAAGAGAGAGGTGCCTTGAGTGTTGCTTTCTTAGACATATTCTACACTCTTCCTCAATTTTCATTGATTATACCTTTTCATCATCACAATTTTTAAAAAATTAGAAGGGACGACCAACAAAAAACCCATTTCATTCACAAAAGTGATTGAAATTTCCTCAGTCAAATTAGAATATGCATTTTGCAGCACTGAAATCATATATGAACCACAGTTTACCCATTAACGGATAAAAAGGTCTCAATAGAACTCGTCACCGTCACCGTCACCGTCATAAACAACTATACGACTGCCAACTCCAAAGCACACAGAGAAAACCAAGTGAGGTTAGTGACCGATTCTAGATGCTCCAGATTGAGGGGAAAGCGCCAACTTTCTCAAGCAATCATTGATCGAAGTAAAGCAAAGGTAAAGCAATACAGGATTTCGCTAGACATTTCATTAAAATCGTTGTAAAGATATCCAGTATACAGAGGTTCACCTTCATGTCAGTCCCCTCCTTCCCCCGACCACCCCTCCCCCTGCCCTAACTGTGGATTTTTCATTCCTTGTACGAGCCACATCGGAAATTCTCACCGATTCAAGGAAATATGGAGTGTATTTGTTTACAAAAATGGCCATAATAAATACATAACCGCAAGGTTTTGGAATTTCCAGAGGATGGTCGGCAATCCTATGGTTGTAGCTAAGAAAATAAATATCTTACCGATGGACAACGCAAACTTACTTCTATCTTCCTCGATTACCTCTTCGCGTTCCTTTACGAATTCTACGTTTAGAAAAAAGAATAAAAATAACAATAGCATGTTAAGTATTTACGGAGCTTACTCACACTTACTTAAGAAAAAAGATACCGCGATAACTCCTAGTTACAAGTAGACCAATAAGTCAGCCGAAGAAGTCAATTTATGTTTTCCAATGTTAAAACATGACTACTTGTTTAAATGTTCAAAATCCACTTTACGACGCAAAAACGCAGTGGCGTACCAGTTTTTTTTCATTACGATTGGTCGTTCATGTCAAAATAGAAGAGAGAGGTGCCTTGAGTGTTGCTTTCTTAGACATATTCTACACTCTTCCTCAATTTTCATCGATTATACCTTTTCATCATCACAATTTTTAAAAAATTA